CCCCCGCAGCCTGACGAGGCCCGGCACTGACCCCTGCTCCCTGTCTCCCCTCCTCCCTCCACCGCAGCCTGTGACCAGCTGGCGCTGGGGGTGGTGGCCATCTTCGGGCCGTCACAGGGCTCCTGCACCAACGCAGTCCAGTCCATCTGCAATGCCCTGGAGGTGCCCCACATTCAGCTACGCTGGAAGCACCACCCACTGGACAACAAGGACACCTTCTACGTGAACCTCTACCCCGACTACGCCTCTCTCAGCCACGCCATCCTCGACCTGGTCCAGTACCTCAAGTGGCGATCGGCCACCGTGGTCTATGACGACAGTACAGGTGGGTAGCCGGGCCCGGCTGGGCTGAGGGCGGGGAGGGAGGGGGGCGGAGCCCCAGGGTCAGGCTCTTGTCTGCTCACCCAACTCAGCTGTCCCCGGAGGAGGATCCACACTCACACCTAAGCCTTATCTAGTCACCCAGACACTCCCCCCTGCACTCCCCCCGCAGCCTCAGGCTCACCAGCCACACTCCCACCTTCCCCACGTTCCTGCCTCCACCCCTGCAGCCTGCTCAGGTCTGCGCTCAGCAGCCACCAACCAGCTGCACTCACCCCTGCCCAGTCATGCCCGACCTGCCACGCGCTAACGGCTCACATTCCTGCCTGCAGCAAATATACCCGGCTCGGGACTCGGACCGGCCCGTGCGTGCGTGCCGGCTCTGACGCTCACTAGCTGTTCCCCCGCTTCCTCTTTCATTCCAAAGACTTGAGTCCCGAGACATTTCTTAGCCTGGCCTCTTAAGAGAGAGTGACCTTGGCAAGTCACTTAACCCATCTGGCCCTTCTCTGCCCACGTGTCAAGTCGAGAGCTATCGCATCCAGCCTGGAAAGAGCCCTCCAGCTCTCTGCTGCCTGTGATTCTATGTCAGCTCTTGATTACCTCCTAATGGGGTGTGGGAATCATAGGGAGAGAATCCCTCAGAAAAGCTGTCTATTTAACTCGGGATTCTACGAGCATCTGTTGGTTACCTGCTATGCCCAAAGTACCAGACAGGAGATCCTGGAGGGCTGGGCACCCCACCCCGGCTCAGTGCCCCCAGCATGAGGCGTCTGCCTTTAAGGGGCACTGGCACCTGGCTCCGGGTCCCCGCCAATGTTTTGGGCAGCCCTGTAGACGATCGGTCTTAGCACACTGCTGGGAATGATAGTGTGGCTTCGAGCCTGCTTCCTTGTCCGGACATGAGCCTTGCGTGCCTCCGGGGCTTAGCACAGGGCCTGGTACAACGTAAATGTTTTTAAGTGCTTGTTGAACTGAACTGAACTAAATCGAATTGAAAAATCAAGAGGAAATAAGTTATAATTAAATTTTGCAGGAAGAGAGTACTGGGCACCGGTAAGGAAGAAGAATGAGGATGTGGTGATCCCATCTTCTTTCGAGGAGTTAATCATATCATAGGGGCATGAGTCCGTACCCAGAGGTCATTGGTCATTCCAGGCCATCAGAGCTAAGAATCCGGCGACAGGCACATACAGTCAGCGCCAAGGCCCCTGGGGAGAGGAGGCCCTGTGGCCTTGGCTAATCTGTGCTGACTTACTAGAGAAAGAGAGACGTGAGCTAGGCCTTGAGGGTGGATGGACGGGGAGAGCAGTCGCGAGGGCAATCACAGGAGGCGGGGGCAGCACCAGCAAAAATGAGGAGGCGGGACGTGCAGCGCAGCTTTCTCGAGAGCAGGGCCTGGCCGGGGGAGAAGATTCACGTTTGGAGGGTGGGAGGAAAGGGTCAGATAAACAGAGCATATCAGGCTGTGCCAGGTCTCTGCTGTCTAGCTTCAGAGTTCAGACTTTATCTTGGAAGCAGCCAAGACCCCATCGAGCGTTGTTGCGCAAAGAAGTAGAATAATGAAAGCAGAGTTTTAGAAGGCGGCTGTGACGGCCATGCTCAGGGAGGATTGCAGGGAGAGCCCGGAACAAGAAGGCAAGCAGAGGTGGCCGGATTGATCCAGGCAGGAACAAAGGAGGCCTGGATTCGAGGGGCTGCTTGGAAGAGAGCTTGGGGCCGGTGGGGGAAGGGAAGAACTGAATGTGAACGGAGTGATGTTGAAAAGGTGTAGCTGGAGTGTCACGGACACAGAGCAGTCAGAGCAGCCTAGTTGAGTTCAACTTGATTTTCAATTTGGTTCCATTCAGCTTAACAAACATCTCAAAACGTGGGGGAGTCCGTGGCGTAGCTGGTTCGGTCAAGAACACAATGGGTACTAGGGGTTCGGTCAAAGAATGATCTGACTTTGATGATGACTAGTGGGTGGTAAGAGGTATGCTCCCAGAATCAGGATATTTCAAAACGTCGGCTTGCGGGTCATCAAAGCCCCAGAGCGAGAAGCACTTAAGAGCAGGGTTTGGTTATATCTGCTCTGGGGGCTTTGTGCTTTCCGATGTCTTGGCTGGAGTAACAGACAACTCAACTCAAACTGACTCAAGCCATAGGCACTTCGTTATCTGACTGACAGGAGGTCTAGAGATGGGCCGGTTTAACAGCTCAACAGAGTCAGGACCCTGGGTCAGTATCCCTGCAGTTCTCCTGGCTTTCCCTCTCATAGTCACAAGAGGGCTGCCGCAGCTCCTGCCATCGCATCCTCATGTGATGATACCCCAGGAAGTAGAAGGAAAGAGGTAGGAGCCAACGGGATTTTTCTTAATGTGACTCATGCCTCTTACCAAGAAAGAAAATCTGTCTCAGAACCTTCCAACAGACCATCTGTCCAGCTCGCTGAGTCTGTGCCTACTACCCTAAGCATGTTCAAATAGGAAACAGATTGCCACTAACTGGCTCTTTTTTTTTTTTTTTAATGTTTGTTTATCTTTGAGAGAGAGAGAGGGAGCATGAGTGGCAGAGGGGGAGAGGAGCAGAAAGGATCTGAATCAGGCTCTGTGCTGACAGCACAGAGCCTGATGCGGGGCTCAAACTCACAAACTGAGATCATGACCTGGGCTGAAATTGGACGCTTAACCTACTGAGCCACCCAGGCGCCCCAGCCACTGACTGGCTCTTAACCAATCACCAGTCACCTCTTGGGACTGGCGCACTGCCCCCTGAACAAAAGCATGTCTCTCTTCGCCCACCTAGAAGGGGGCACAGTGCACCAGTTTCTACAATATTTGTACAATAACACTGTGTAAGAAACCGCCCCCAAAACGGAGCGGCTTAACACAGTATTTGTTTAGTTCACGGGTGTTCAGGGTCAGTGGTTGGCTGAGTTAGTTAGGCGGTCGTGCTGGTCTCAGCTGGATCACTCGCATGCCTGCGGGTCATTTGGCGGTGGGTTGATGTAAACCAGCCTTGGCAGAGATGACAGGGGCAACGGGCCCCTCCTCCACCAGCAGGCTAGCCCAGACATGTCATGACGGTGGCAGAGATGCAAGAGACCAAACCCAGAGTGCAGTTCCATTTCGAGCGGCTGGTGTCCAATGCCTGCTAATACCCCGTTGGCCAACACAGGTTACATGGTTGGGTCCAGTGTCATTAGTGGGGCAGGTCACCTGCCCACAGTTGGAGGTCACTGCAAAGTTACGTGGCCAGAGGTGTGCCTCTAGGGAGGGGTGAAGAACCAGGGTCACCAATGCAATCCACTGCAGGGAGAACTCTTTTTTTTTTTTTTAATGTTTATTTATTTTTTTTATTTACTTATTTTTTTTAATGTTTATTTATTTTTGAGACAGAGAGAGACAGAGCATGAATGGGGGAGGGTCAGAGAGAGGGAGACACAGAATCCGAAGCAGGCTCCAGGCTCCAAGATGTCAGCATAGAGCCCGACACGGGGCTTGAACTCACGGACCGCGAGATCGTGACTTGAGCCGAAGTCAGATGCTCAACCGACTGAGCCACCCAGGCGCCCCTAATGTTTATTTATTTTTGAGAGAGAGACAGAGAGACAGAGCATGAGCGGGGGAGGGGCACAGAGAGAGGGAGACACAGAATCCGAAGCAGGCTCCAGGCTCTGAGCTGTCAGCACAGAACCTGATGCGGGGCTCGAACTCACAAACCATGAGATCATGACCTGAGCCGAAGTTGAGCACTCAACTGACTGAGCCACCCAGGCTCCCTAAGGGAGAACACTTTTTAAATGTACCCGGGGACCCCACAGATGCGGATGACCAACTGATGACGCAGAGAGGTCAATGCCATTGAGAGGAGAGTTCTTACAGTTGCCTAGAAGCAGGACGGGGCACGTCGTGGCACACAGATCCTCATGGAGAAGCACCGGGATCCGTCAGGAGGCAGGGGCAAGCGGAAAGCATGGGCACAAGCCTTTTTTACTCCGGAGACTTTATTTTATTACCCTAATGTAGCCTATAGTACGACAGGTGGGATTTGTTAGGCGGCGACATCCTCTGTGGGGCAGGAAGCAAAACACAGATGTTGGGGTTTTTTTTTAATTTTTTTTTTCAACGTTTATTTATTTTTGGGACAGAGAGAGACAGAGCATGAACGAGCGAGGGGCAGAGAGAGAGGGAGACACAGAATCGGAAACAGGCTCCAGGCTCTGAGCCATCAGCCCAGAGCCCGACGCGGGGCTCGAACTCACGGACCGCGAGATCGTGACCTGGCTGAAGTCAGACGCTTAACCGACTGCGCCACACAGGCGCCCCCAGATGTTGGGGTTTATAATGTGAGCCTTGTGTACTCAGAAACAGAGGGAGAGTAGGAACATAGACAAGCGCGGCCATTAGTTTGGCGCATGATTTCGGGATGCCAGATCCTCAGTTACAGAATATTCCAGAGTGATTATTACAGGAACCAACAGGGTTGGCCCGTGACCTTTGACAGCTGGTCGCCTTCACAACCTGATCTGCACCCAGAGACAAACTGGTGTCGAGAATGAAAGGAAGGGTCTTGGAAAAACCTGGGGTGGAGGGAAGGGCCCCACTGTAGGAGCCAGCCAACAGGTTGAGTCTCAAATCTTGATCCCGTTGCTAGCATGCTGCGAAACCTTGGCAGACCACGTGACCTCTGTGAGCCTCAGTTTCTTCGTCTGTAACGTTGGGAAGAAAAGTCTCTATTCTACATGCCTTCTAGGACAGGGAGATGGTTAAATAGGGTAATGAATATGCAGAAGTGCTTTGTAAGTGAAAAGCATGAGTCCAACAACCATGATTCACTGCAGATATTTTGAGAGAGATTGATTAGGGAGGCAGCCGGGAAGAAAAGCTCATCTCGGGCAAGCCAAGAGCCTCATCCTCTGTGGTGGGGGGCGCTGAGACGAGCCTCTGGTCTCCTTTGGGAATGCGCTGATGAGAAGGAGGTCTGACATTTGCTGCTGGAGAATGTGGGTCACTGTGTATTACACGGGGCAATGCACTTGGCTGACAGGTAGACCCTGGTGGCCTCTGCTCCAGCATGCAGGCTGTCCCCGTCCTCATGTCCTGGATCCCCAAAGCCCACGTGCCTGCCTACCGAAGCTGGGCATGACTCTGAACACTGAGCGAGCGGGCGCAAAGTGAAAACTCGGAGCCTTGCAGGGTAACAGGTGTGAGCGGGCAGCGGCATTCACCCAAACGGAGAATTTCTGGGGTTAGTTGGGGAGGGAGGGTAAGGCTGGGTGTGTGTTCCAGAGGGGCTCGAGGCCCCTCCCTTTTCTGCAAGGGTCGGCTGATACCCTTGTTCCTGTGCCCCATCAAGTTTAGGAAGCACTGTGACCCCTGTTTGATCCAGATCATTCCAGGATGCCAGAGCCCTCTGCCAGCCCATGCACCTCGGTCTGAGGCCTTCCAGGAGACCGGGGGTTCCTGATGACCGTGGCCATGGCAACGCTTGTTTGGGAGCTCCTTGGGAGGCTTAGGTCACAAGGATATATCTCTGTCCTTTCCAGCAGAGGGGAACGATGGATACCATTCAAACTGCTTTCCTGGTGACCAGCCGTCAGGAATGGAAAGGAGAGGCTGACCAGATCTAGGCGTTTGTATCAGAAATGCATTTGGAAACCCAGATGCTCTGTTGGAAGGCTCTCAAAGTAGGCTGTCTGTGTGGGGGGACTCTGTCCAGACAAGGGACACTGAAATAGTTGATTGCAAACTTTAATCCAGAGAAAACTAGCTTAAGCGAAAACAAACAAACAAAAAAGGAGGAGTGGATTTTGTTGGCTGTGTTTACTGGAGAGTTCAGGAGTAATTTTAGCTTCAGGTACTATTTGATCCAGAGGCTCAAATGGGTATCATTAGGACTTACTTGTCCTGACTTCTGTGGTTTTGGAATCCTTCTCAGGTTCTGTGTGGTGATGCCCAGAGTTACTTCCTCCCTCTTTGGAGTGAAGTGGAACAGGGGGCGTAGCTCTTACCAGTGGCTGAGGCACCATTTCTGGAAGTCATCTGATAGGACCAGCTCGTGTCACATACCCATCTCTAAGCCCGTACCTATGCCTGGAGGAATGTGTGTGCTGATTGGCCAGGCTGGGGCCGCATGCTGTGCCCCTAGAGCTGGGGGTTGATCCCTCCTGAGTCATGTGGTGCGAGCATGGAGGTGGAGTTGCTCCCCAGAGGAGAACCCAAGTACTGTCGAGGGGGAATGGCCTGTAGCCGGTGGACAGCACAATTAGGACACAGACGCTAAGCCCTGACTGTGGGCGGGGAGCCTAGTGGGCAGGAGGGGATGGCCCACTTGGGACCCTGGCCCCTGCTGGCTCAGCCCCTCCCTGCAGTGGGGAGAGGTACGGAGGGCAGCAAGCAGGCTTGCTCCCAGGCTAAACAGAGGGGAGTCAGCAAGAACGGACCTTGAAATAGCTACGGAAATGAACTTAATTAGACCTAAGTAAGCCATTTGTCTCCAGGAAGTGACATTCAGTTTTCCCTGAAAGTCCCCAGATTAAGTGGTTTCGCAAAATACCAAGGTGGAGGATGGATTTTTCAGTGTGGGGAGAAAAAAAAAAAAAAAACAGTAAGTCAGTTCAATTACGGAAATTTGCATGGAGCACCACCTAAGCGCCAGGCCCTGTGCTCGAGGCTGTGGGGACCCAGGGTGGGGGGTGAGACGAGGGGCTGAGGGCGAGGCCACCGGGTTGGAGGAGGGGGTGTTTTGTTTGGACAGAGCAGTAGGGGTAGGCTTCACGGAGGAAGCGATTCCATTGAGCTTGGAAAAAATGGGTCGGGTTTACTGAGGTAGCCTGTCCTTGGGTTGGGGGACACAAATACCATGTAGGCTTATACAGTCCCAACAGTAGTTGGTACAGAGGAGCCTGGAGCCTCCACTTGTGCCACATCCTGGAGGCAGGTCCCACGCTTCCCAGTGTTGCAGGTGGGGTGATGAAGAGGGGTGGCCTCAGGTCTGGGCTCCGTAAATCTGTGTACCCCCTTCTAGTTTAGAGGGGAGCGGGTAGGTGTGGTCAGTGGGGACTTGCTGTCTCTCTGTGCCTACTTTTGGATCTGCACGTGTTGTATGTGTTTCTGTGTCTGCACACGCCCTTATTTACATATGTGAACAAGCCCAGGTGTATGTCCGTATCAAAGTACGCATGTCCACGTAAACATGTGTTTGAGTGTGCACAGCCCGGTGCCTGTGTCCGGACACATAACTGAGTCCGTGCACATGCACGTATCTCTGTGGGCCACGCGTCCACGTCTGTGTGTGTCTCCAGACCTGTGGCCGCAGGCGTGTGTATACCCAAGATGCCCGCAGCTGTGTATACCTGTGTGCACACATGTGTCTTTTGCACCCCGGGGCCTCCCAGGGCTCATCCGACTGCAGGAGCTCATCATGGCCCCATCGAGGTACAACATTCGCCTGAAGATCCGCCAGCTCCCCCTTGACTCCGATGACTCACGCCCCCTACTCAAGGAGATGAAGCGGGGCCGTGAATTCCGCATCATCTTCGACTGCAGCCACACCATGGCCGCCCAGATCCTCAAGCAGGTGCGTGAACGCGGGCCAGCCGGAGGGACAGAAGGCATGGTCGGGATCTGCCTGCCACGTCCCCCCGCCTTCCCTTTCCCACACTCGGGCGTGACGCCGGCCAGAGTTCAGCTGGACCCCAGCTCCGCATCCTTCTGGCGATGGGAACCGGCCTCTGAGAGCCCGTTCGAGCAGCAGCAAAATGGACGCAGTGCGGTCTTTAAGCCCTGGCTTGGTGTGAGGATGGAATGAGACCAGGGTTGAGCCGAGCCTGGCACCCGGAGGGTGCTGTGAGAATGCTAGCTTCGGTGCCATCACTGCAGGTGGGGGTCAGGGGCTGCCGCGCAGGGCCCAAAGCCACACAGGACAGAACATTTCAGGAGGCCCGGAGAGGCCTCGGGGTCGCGGGAAGAGCCCCAGGAGTGCCTCACCGCCTCTTCCGTGATGAGTTCCCCGTAGCCCACAGCACTTGGTGTTACTCTTCCTATTACTAGGTTTATTGAAGTTCCCCGCACCATCTGCTCCACTTTGCAGTGACAGTGGGGGAGGAAAGTGGCTCTCGGTCCCGGATGGGCCTCTGTTCCTTCCCAGACGCAGCCTGGCATGGCATGCTGGGAACAAGAGCAGTGTCTGCCAGCTGCCTAAGAAATAAACAACGAAATCGCCTACAACCCCCTTGGAGGGTGCTGCAGCTGAAACCCAGAACACTCAAATTTGAGCCAGTGCTCTGTGTAAAAGGCGATTATATGGTCCCAGAAAGCGTCCCTGGTGATAGAAGGAGGCATTCCGTGGGGCTCTATACTCATGACCCTGCGAGAGGCAGGTGGGGGGGTCGGGGGGAGACACGGAGTGCAGGGAGATGGGCGCTGAGCTGGGGACGGGGCATTTTCAAGTCCGTGGGGGGGTGGGGGGTTTCCGGTCTCAGCCTCCAGTTGGGCCTTGCCAAGGGGGTGCCCAAGCCTCCTGGACGTCTCTGTCCTCCCCCAGGCTCCCTCACACAGCGGTTAGATAGCTCATTTGGGGGTTTGAATCCTGCTTCTGCCCTTGGGTGTTGTGCGCCCAAGAGCGAGGGACCCCAGGGTCATCCCCTCCTCTGTCCGTGGAGCCAATGATCCCCTACCTCAGCCGGTGACGGAGGATTCTGTTGAGACAAGGCAAGGAAAGAGTCTAGCCCAGGGTCCGGTGCACAGTCGGCACCCGGTGTGGGACATCTTTAAAGTCACAATGGAGGAGACCCACACTCCCCAGAAGTCCCTTAACCCTCCTCCCGGGACACCCTCCAGCGCTTCCTTCTATCACAGAGTAATAGAGACAGTCACGACCCCGGTTCGCCGAGTTACTATGTGCTGTGTCCATATAGCCCCTCACTGCCACCCTGGGAGGTGGCAAGGATTATCACGCCCAGTTTACAGGTGAGGAAACTGAGGCTCAGGGGGAAAGGAATGGACCCAAGGTCATCCAGCCAGAAAGTCGAAATTTACTCCCCACGTAATTTACTCCCCACGAAATTTACTCCCATTTACTCTGCCTAACTTGAAAACATCCAGAATTAAAAGTGGAGATTTTGTGCTCAGCAGCTATACACTGCACCCCACAAAGGTAAATACATCCATTTACTGAAGCTTTTCTGAGCCTTGAACCTGCTGAAGCAGGCTGTGAATCTCCAAGAGGGCGAGAGAATGAGTGACATTTTCCAAGTGGACTTGAGCCCGTGACATTTATTCCTCCGGAGCACTTTGTGGGCCCAGAAGATCTTTGCAGAAAATGCATTATGGTAATTATTATAGATGATAGGTTTCTAATAAAATACATAAATGTGTACAATGCAGGCTTCATGATGGTACATGGTAATAACTCCAGCCGTGCGGGCTGCTTCGTGGTCAGATGGACGAGGGAAGCCTGGCTGTCTAGGCCCCCTGGGAGGCTCTCAGCCTGACCACAGCCTCTCCTCCTCAGGCCTGGCTGGAGGCTGGTGGGGGCTGGGCTTTCCCACACCTCTCTCTGGAGCCAGGACGGTGAGCTCCGCCGGGTGGAGTCAGGGCACTGGCAGAGGCGGTCTGGGGCTGATCCCGGCGGCATTTCTCTTAAGTGTGGCAGGCCCGAGATGCTTACTGAAAAGCCAGACTACCGGGCCCAGCCCAGCCCAGCCCTGCGGAATTTGGAATCTTTGCAGAGTATGGGCTCAAGATTCTGCGTTTTAATCTGTCCCAGGTGACTTTCCCGGACACTCCTGTGTGAAACCCTCCGCTGTCTACCAGCCGGTCGTTGTCGCTTTGGGGAGGTGGTCTCAGAGAACAGCCCCCTCCCTGCGAGGAGCCAGACCCTCCCCACCCCCACCCCCAACCCCCCACCACCACTCCGTCCAGTCCTCACCACTGGAGTGGAAGTGGGGAGGCTGCTTCTCGGGCACTCCCTGCAAGTTGCTAATGTTCTGCTTTCCCGCAGGCCATGGCCATGGGCATGATGACGGAATACTACCACTTTATCTTCACCACTCTGGTAACGTACCGCTGGGTCATGGCACGGGTCGGGGTGGGACCCCTCGGAGCAAGGTCAGCCTGGTGGGGACAGTTGCTGCAGCTAGAGAAGATTCGCGCTGGCCTTGCTTCCTGAGGCTCTAGGTGTGGGCCCAGGCAGGGGCACAGGGATATGTTTGTGGCCCGCCCACTTTGAGAAATGACATCGTGTTGTGACCGAGGGCAGTGAGTCTAGACCTGCCCATGCGACCACAGGCCCCTCTGATTACCAGCCACAGCCTTGCCTCGGTTTCTTCATCTGCGAAATGGGCACGATCATGGCCTCTACCCCCTAGGATGGTTTTGAGGACTAAATGTGCTGATTAAGTAAAACGCTGAGAGGGCTGCCTGGTTCGTGCAAAGAGCTGTGGAAGTATTAGCTGTTCTTACTATGGTGACCCCGGCCTCCCAGCCCACACGCTTCGCCTCGAATGTCTCAGGCCTCACACAACAACAGGCATTGCTACTTTGGATTTCTGCAGCATCCCCGCCGAAGTCTCCCCACTCACTGTCAGCCGGCCCAGCCCACCTGCAGGCTCCAGATGGGTCCTGTCCAAACTCTGAGAGCATTTAGGGCCATTTAAACCCATTAGGATAATTAGTTGTGGCCTGAAATCAGCAGAATGAAGAGATCCCCGTGCCAAAGGGGCACCAGCACCCAGCCGCCCTGCGTGGAGCCAGACACCCTTGCACCTCCCGGGGGCCCTGGGGGGACTGTTCCATCCAGCCTTGTTCTGGGGCAAATGACAGCACGGCTAACCGTTCTGTCACTGAAACGAGCTTCTGCCACATCTGCATCAGCCCGGCAGGCTTCTGTGTTCCTTCATCCATCCGGGACCCAGATAACATTCCTTACCCAGCACCTGGGCTCCGCTGAGTATCTCCTGACGACTGGCACTGAGGCCCTGGCCTCAAGGAGCTCCCCTCCTGTGCGGTCTGCACCTCCGTGTCTAGGTCCTTCGGCAGGCTCGTGCCATCACAGGCCCGGACAGATGGCCGTGGGGCACAGTGCAAGGAGACACCAGGTACGGAGGGGCCGGTGGAAGGTGGGAAGTTCGAGGCAAGAAAGCAGATGCTTACGTTGTTCTTGAAGGATCAGTAGGAGTTCACCAAGGAGAGAGGGGAAGGGCATTTCACACGAGAGAACAGCATAAGCAAAAGGCGAGAGGCACGTTAGCGCCTCCCCGGATTGCTTGGGGCTGGCTCGCTCTGGCTGATTGCCAGACCCCGTTGTGTTCATCTCTTCGCAAATCCACGTTCAGCGATAGCACATAGGTGGCTTGAAGTCAGCCAGGGTGGAAGGAATATTCGTGCCACAGGAGTTGGCAAATGCCACAAATGACGGTTTTTAGCCTCCCCTCCCCTGAGAGCTGGTTATTAAGCGTTTGCCAGCACGCCATTTCTTATTCCCCTCTCTGCACCCCCACATACCCTGTGCCCGTGGCAGAGCTCAGGGGCCACCCTGCACATTCCCTTGATCCAGAGCTCAGACCTGGGGACGTGCCATGAGTCACGCTGGGAGAATGGGATCCTGGAAACTGGAGACCGAGATCAGGCGCCTTTTCCCGCAAGTCCCTGCTGGAGTTCTGCCCACCCAAGCTGACTTTTCCATGCCATGCTATATGCTGGAAAGTCATTGCAGGCTGGAGGATGAGGCCATCAGGTCTCCCATGTTTCACCTCTGTTTGGAGCCCGGAGCGAGGCAGAGGAGGAAGGCTGGGAAGGGCAGGGGCCCAAGGCCCTGTCCCCTGGCATGGCAGCCCCGTGCACCCCTTCCTGGGCTCCTGGGGTGCGGAGACCAACGTCCGGGCCCTTTGCCCTCTGGCCTGACTCCACCTTTCAGGCAACACTCTGGAGACGGCACCTCCCTAGTGACCCCAGTTTCCTTACGTTAATGCCATTGCCCTCCTGGGGGCAAGGCTAGAGGTCTTAGAGGGAGGCTCAGGGCAGGGAGTGCCCTGGGGTTTCCTCTGGCCCCAGACAGTGTCCACTTCTCTTTTTCATCTCCTTAATTCAAGCATCCGTTTACTCCCTTGTCCAGCAGCCACGTACAGATGCTCTCAAAGCCCCACGGACTGAGCAGGGCACTTGGGTGGGAGACAGGGTGCAGAGGTGGCCCCAACACAAAGCCCACCAGCTGGCAGGCTCCCTTCATGCACGTAAGGATCAAGCACTGCGACCCGTTCACCTGTACATCTCCGGTGCCCAGATAGCGCCTGGCCAGGCAGCAGGCGGCCATTAATGCCTGAATGAATGAATAACGACAGTACAACGTAGAAAGTAATCAGTCAAGTTACCGAGACCTTTGTCATAGCCACGGTGAAGACCGTGGACTCTGGGGCCAGCCTGCCTGACTTAGAAGTCGAGATTCTTCCGCTTCCCTGGGCAAGTTACTTCACCTCTCCGTGCCTCGTTTTCCCGTCCACAAAACGGCCACAGCAACCGCATCACCTCATGGCATTGTTACGCAGAGCATTGAGTATGTTGAGTGCCTGATGTTTAATTAAGTACTACGTTAAGTGTTAAATTGCTCGTATTTTCTCTGTATTCAGCATCGCCCATCTCATGCAAAATTCGGAACAACTCTCCAAGGGAGGAACGATGTCCCGATTTTACAGGAGAGTAGAAACCAAGGCTCAGAGCGGCCACTCGCGAGAAAGGGAGCGGAGCCTGGATCTTTACCAGCTGGGGGCTGTCTAGCTCCAAAGGTCCCTGTGGAGACCTGTCGCCCTGAAAACCCGCACAACGTCATGGCTGGCCTCCCCTGGCCGCACACGGCAGCCATGGTCCAGGCACGGTGGTCGACACTAACGAGGGGAAATGGAGCCTCCACAAATCCCAGCCTTGCCCACACCTCACAGGTTCCAAAGCCCTTTCTCCACATCGCTGGTTTTCCTCTTTCCACGGCAGAGTTTTTGCTCCCCGTCGATGGATGGGCAAACCTGGGACCGGAGAGGTTGAGTGGCTTGCCCAGAATCTCACAGTGGATCGGTGGTGGAGGCCGTGGCTCCTGACTTCCGGTCTGGTGCACGGTCTCTCCAGCCCACTGCCCGTGCTCCCCGGGCCTCTCTGAGGAGCAGGGAGAGTGGATCTTTCCAGGGAGGAACCCTGCCGCACAAAGAGTTCTGCAATTTGCAGCCGAGTAGGTGCGCGCGCGTGTATCAGGGGCTCTAACCAGCGTGTCTCCCGACTGCCCCCGGCCGCCTGCCTGCCAGGGCATCAGCCGTGTCCCTTGGGTCCCTCCGCTCCAGCCCACGTCCTGCTTCAGCTCCGGCTCCAGCCCCGGGATCCTCCTCCCGGCCCCGCTGGCTTCAGGGTCGGCCTCGTGATTCCGCCTCTTTGCTGCCCATTGGTCAGTCGAGGCTGTATCGGGGAGGGCAGTGGCATTTGCCATTTCTCTCCTTCCCCTTAGCAACCCACGTCACCAACTCCTCGCCTCTAAAACATTCTCCAAACTCGCTTCTTTCACGCAGAAGACATTTTAATTACCCCAGCGGCCAGTATCTGTGCCAGCCAGCTTTGAGCCATTCCCAGATAACCCCGCGTTAATCAGCCCCAGCTGAGCCCCTGGTACATGTCATGTGTAGGTAAAAGCCTGGAGGTGGAAGAAGAATTATAATAAATTAATAGATAAGCAATCACAATTAATGCCACTTCCCGGCAATAACAGTTATATCATGGGAAAGATATTTTCATCTGTCATTCCTTAAGGCAATGTTTTCCGAGCTTCAGCTTCTACCCAGTCAGACCCATGGGGTGCTAATGAATTAGTCTATTATGTTATGCTGAATGTTTCTAAAAGGTCCCTCGTCGACACTGAATTCGGCGTGTCAACATTTGGCATCGAGAACAGCAACTTTTTGCCAAGCGGCAAGGTTGCGCTCGGTTCGCCGTGCGTGGCACCTGGGGTCTCGGCGCGGGGCAGTTTGGACCAAAAATCGGAGCCGGACAAAGAGGCCTCTTCAGCAGTGCCCCGTCGTCACTGCCCTCGTGTCACAGGAGCGGGGACATTTGGTGCCACGGGTCCTACCACACTTTGTACCCCGGGCTCAGGGTGACAGGGAGGGAGGTGACCCCAGCAGTGTGACCCCAGCTTGCTCCCTCCCAGGCTCAGCATGTCAGCAGACCACATGCTACGTCTTGTAGGCTTGGAAGGCCCAATGCCACCAGCATCCAGGCCCCCACAGGGCCAGAGATGCCCCCTTCCCCCTGAGTCACGGAGGTCCTAGGCTGATGCTTTGGCAATCCTTCAGGCCTTTGATATTAGGTTAACGCCGCATCAGAGAGGAGGCTGTGCCTTGCCCCCACCAGCCTGTGCAGGGGCGGCGTGAGGAGGGCGCCCCCTGGGGGCAGAGCTCAGCTTCTCTCCCGGGGCCCCAGCAGCCCAGCTCTGGCCCCAAACTCCCCGTTCTCCACTCTGCGAAACAAAAGTGCTTCGTCTTCCCTTACCTGCCTTCTTCAGAGGCGACTTGGGGAAGATCCCTTGATCCTGAAGCAGTCTCCTTAAGGGTCTGTCCCTCCTCCCCAGGCAATTTGCCAAACTGCTCCTAACCTCCAGCGTCATTGAGAGCTCCCCCTGAGAGGTGGATGTGAAACACTAGTCTTGATCCCAGGCTCTTCCCAGTGCTGTTTGGGTGTCCAGAGAGCGGCTCAGCTGGCCGACCCTTCTTTCCACTTCGGGTGACAGGTGCACGGGGGAGACAGACATAGACACTGAGAGTTGTCATCAGAGGGCTGAAAGCCGAGAGGTCCCAGGGTAAGAGCGGAAGCACCCCTGACCCACTCTGTTGTGCATGTGTAAAGGAGTAGTCAGGGGAGGCTTCCTGGAAGAGGTGCCCCTTGAGTTGGATCTCAGAGAATAGCCCACCCAAGAGGGTTGAGAAGAGAGACATTCCAGCCAGAGGATAAGAACACGCACAAATGCCGGCACAGGGAGGAGGAGATGTGCGATGGGGGCCAGCGAGGAAGGGAAAAGGGGAGCGAAAGTGGTTTGGCTCCTGAAACAAACATGGGAGGGGGTGGGAAGAAAAGTGGGGCTGGCGGGGTGGAGAGCTTTGTAAACTAAAGAATTGCACTTTCTTCTGAGAGGGTAGTAAGGATCCATAAACACAGGAGTGAGGGGGGTGGATTGATCCATCAGAAAGACCCCTCTGTGTGCTGTGTGGACCGAGGGCTGGTCACAGGTCAGAGGGAGGGCTCGGGAGCTAGACTTCCGGGGTTTGACTGCACCGCTCCCCAGCGGTGAAACCTAACCTCTCTGTGCCTCAGTTCCTTCCTCTAAAATGGGGTGCCAACAACACCCTCCTTGTGTGAGGTGGAGATGCGAATTAAGTGGTGCCTGAGGTGTAAGACTGACAGGTGCTCATAGCTATTAGCTCGTCGGGATTGTTTCTCTATTGCCAAGATGGGTAAGGCGGGAAGGACCGGACTCCTGTCTGCCCCTCACCTCCCAACAACCAGGGGCCACACCCCAGACTGTCCATGGCTTATACGTTCCCCCCCCCCCCTGCAAAAGCTCCAGAACCCATCCTGATGCATATTGTGTGTTTGGCAACCACTGGGGACAGTAAAGCCTGGGAATTTTTGAATAAGACAGACAAAAATGTACAACCAGCTCTCAGAGGGGAGGGGGGATGCCCCTGGACTTGTAGTGCCTCTGATTTCCGTGGTGTGAATACTTCCACTGTGGCTGGTATTAAGCTACCAATGTGATGTCACTGGACGCGCACAGGGACAGGAGGAAGTGCGAACAGTTAGCTCCCACGGGCCCGTGGGAGTCGGCTCCAACACACCACTGAAATGGCCCCGGGTCCGAATTCTGCTCCGCCCTGTAGGAACTTCGTGACCGCAGGCGAGTCGCCTGATGCCCCTGACCCTGCTTCCTCATCTGTAAAAGGAGAAGACGATTAAACAGCTACTTCGCAGGGGGTTACTGAGATGGGACAATGTCTTCCACATCAGGGCTGAGCGCGGTGCCCACCCTGGGCTCCCCACTGAGACTGGGGCAGGCACCCTCTGGCCGGCCCAGCGAGACCCCTCATCTGCTGAAGACCCAGCTTCGTGCTCCCACCCGACCCCTTCCCCGTCCCAAGTCCTGGCCGAGAATCAGCACCCTATTTGTTTGGGCAAGGCTAGGACTGACTTTTCTTGTCGGTTCAAGTCTGTGCCAAACCTCCCCCCTACTCCCTACTCCTGAAGCCTTCAAAGGGGAAACCAACAGAATGCACCCCAGAAGAAGCCCATTCTGGGGGTGCAGCGGGAGCAGCAGGAGTTTAGCATCAATTAGGGAGACAGGAGGGCGCCAGCACCATGTGCATAACCTGCTCCGTGGGCTCATTGTTCCTCGAGCCACCACTGAGTTAACCGAAGCATGGACTGTGACGGGCTGGGGTGTTATTCCCGATGGCTGTGGCCATGCAGAGAAGAGTACAGCCCACGGGGTGCCCTGCCGCTCTCCCAGCACAGGATGGAGGGTCTGAGTCGAGGGACCCAGGAAAGAGGATGGACCGGGGGCCGGGACGGAAGGCAGCTTGATGAGGGCAGAGCATGGAAAAGGATAGGCAGTTGGCCAGGAGGACCTTAGGACGCAGTTTCTTCACTAGTAGGAAGGGGCCAATCCAGAGGATCATAGTGTGTTACATTTTCAAAAAGTAAAAAAATGACTCATGCAAATATAGGATGAACACGTATCAAAGACGGATTCCGTTCACTAACAAGGGAACCAGTAGGATGGCAACACTGTCTCCAAGAGCTTTTGAGGGATTGAGTTTTTATTTGGAGGGGAAAACACAGAGTAAGACTGCTCAGTGAATTAATGTCCTACAGGGCAATAAACCACAACATTGGGGTTTATCTTTCCAGTTGGCAAAGATCTCCAAGTTGACCTTGAGTCTGGGCCTTTAATCAGTAGCTGAGAGTGAAGTCAGGCCCAGGTGCGTTCTCCCAGAGCATCACAGAATCCAGGACGGGCCTGGTCAGCGATGCTTCCCTACGACATTCCCTACGACATTCCCTTCCGCCTTATTTCCAAGTTTGGGGAGTTTTGCTTAACAGGACGGAACTCTGCTCCGCTCCTCCAGCTACCACCTGCCACCTCCCTGCCCCTGCCACCTGCCACTTTTTATTAATGCCTGGCTTGCCCCCCC